CTCTAAAAATCGAGTTTATTATTTTTTTAAATGTGAGTTAAGATCACCAATCTTACTAGAAAAATAACCAAGCATTGGAAAGCTACCAAGCTTATGGTGGCAGACTAAATTCTAACTTTTTCTGGGAAGTTTGAATTTTACCATGGCAGCAAATACTATCAGTTGTTTGCTTTGAAACGACAGGTTCACCTCATTCCTTTTCAAGGATATGTTCGTCAAATTGTCTAGATAACAGTAATTTGTTAATATTTCTTAAAATACATTAATGATCTATGAAAAAAAGCAGCTAGTTGAACTCACGTCTTAAACAATGAAATAATTGCTTTTCCTTAAATAGCCAACATAATCATGCAGCATTTCATCACAGAGAATAAAACAGATACTCAAGGATGAACCTTTAATTATTTTATTTTTATTTTTTGCCATAGGTCCTGTGTGTTCACCAGAGAGAGACAGAGGGAAAGTGAGAAATCACTCCCCAGGGGAGATGACCCTGCTGCAATCCCTTCTCCTCTCAGGACTTTGGGCACACATGTACATATACCCAGCATGATTTTCAAACTATCAAGTCCAGGACTCAAACAGCAGTTGGCCATGTGGGAATCCAGCACCTTAACCACCATATCACCTGTTAGCCCAATGTTTAATAAATCTAATAATTGTTACGGCTTCAGAAAAGATATTCCGTAGTGAAATGGACCCCCTTTTTTTTTTTTTTTTTGAGAGGTTTTTGCTATAGGGCACGTAGGCTCGCCAGACAGAGGGAGAGAGAAAGAGAGATAGAAAGCGAGAAATCACCCCCCCCAGGGGGATGGTCATGCTGCAATCCCTTCTCCTCCATTCTCCTCTCAGGATCTTGGGCACACACGCACATGTGCTTGGCGTGAGTTTAAGCCACTGGGTCCGGGACTCAAACTATGGTCGACTACATGGGAGTCCAGCGATACAGCCACTATGCTAACTGCTGGTCCCTGGACCCCTTTATTTTTACTGGGAGTGTGTGGAGTGAGAAACACAAGGACTACTAGTATGATTTGGTGCCAGTGCTTTGCTTCAGCAAGCGGGCCAGTTAATCTTTACTGTTTCTGTCACTGCATTACCATAGTCCATACCTTACACAGTGAATTTATCTATTCTTCCCATTTATGCTGACAATAACATCATTCTAAGCTGTTCCAATGCTAATAACAGAAAATACCTGAGTCTGAATAATGTAAGAGAATAGAGGTGTGTCAGCTTACAGTTTGGAGGTCCTAGTCCAGGGGCCGTGTCTGGTGGGGATCTTGAAGAGTCCTGGAGATCACATCAGAGCTGGAGCGCAGAGCAGAGTGTGTGCGTCCAGAGTCTCTCTATTCTGGTCTCGTTCCCTTTCCAGCAGGACACAATCGTGGGGACTCTGCCATGATGACCTTCATCGCAATTTCCTCCTGAAGACCCCACCTTACAACATAATCAGTGTTTAAGTTTTTACCCTCTTAATTCCATCACAACCAAATCTCAATACATGACTTTTTAGGGGACACTGAAGCCATAGCAAACACCTATCATCATGTGCCACTTACAGATCAGACACTGAGGCTTAGAGAGTTGGAAGAACTTCCCCAATGTCAAGGTTATCACCCGGCAGCACCAACTCTCCTGACAATGGATTGCTGCCATGTCCACTATGAAATACAGTCACCACCACCATCACCCCACCTCAGAACTCCTCAGAGCCACACAGGGTGCAAAACTGTGAAGACAGGGAGTTCTCCCTGGGTCTCCTAACTTCTCCACTCATCTTGACTCAGTAGGGGGTCAACTCCCAGATATTGAACCCTCCCCCCCACCCTCACCACCTTCTCCTACAGCCTCCTTTCCTCTGCTGCTATCAGATCGATAATAGCCTCAACATTCAGTCAGCACATTCGACTTTGATGAGTACTTTCCCATTCATCGTCTTTGGATTTTGATCTCCCCAATGTGCTTTTTGAGATAGTTATCCTTCTCATTTTTACACAGAAAAGGGAGATCTTGGGAGGTGGTAATGTGCACGCTCATATCGCTCACGTTTCTCATGTCTCCTTCCCTTCAGATCTTCTTACTCTCCCTAGAATAATGTATAGTAGGTTTACATGATGGCTAGTCCCTTTATATGCTCCCGCTGAGGAAGGCTGGCATTATAAAAGAGATTTTTTAAATTTATTCATGTATTTATTTTAATTTGACAGGAGAGAGAGAGGAAGTGAGAAAGCAATCTCCTAGGTCTAAGACTCGAACCGTAGTCAGCCATGTGGGAGTGTCCAGCGCCTTAACCACCATACCACCTCCTGGTCCCTAAAGCAGAATTTTTGAAAAGCAACACTGGTTTCTAAAAAGTGTCTTTCTTGGGGCTGGACAATGGCTCACAGGTAATTCAACACTCTGTGAGGCTGACCCTCAAGGGGAGGTTTCCAGATTCATAACCAGAGACTTGCCTAAACATGGTAGGCATATTATGCCCATGATCCAGAGCTGGCTGAAGCTGGGGATAGACTGTGATGTGAAGACCTGTTGGGGGTTTTCTCTCTCTCCGTGTCTCTCTCATGGAAGAACAAAGTAAATGTTTTAAATTAAGTAACTTCTTTATTTTGTAATAACACACTATTATTATTTGTGCCTCTCAAGGAGAATATGCAGAGCCAGAAAGAAATATAAACTATCAGGGCCATCCGGTGGCATGGTGCTAGACTCCCAAAGAGCTGACTGAGGTTCGAGTCCTGGACCTGACAGCTTGCTTTCCTCTCTCCCTCTCTCCTCTGTCTCTCTCTGATAAAGCACATGTACTCTATAGCAAATTTTAAACTAATAATAATAATAAAAAGAAAAGATACAATCAAAATAATAATAAATAAAATAAAACAAAGAATATAAGCTATCATAATGTTAGAAGTGAAAATGAAATTGTATACATCTTCACTTGCAAAATTATAGTAGTAATGGGTATTTTTTTTAAGGTTTTTGACATAGGGCATGTGTGCTCACTGGAGAGAGAGAGAGGGAAAGTGAGAAGTCATCCCCCAGTGGGCATGGCCATGCTGCAATCCCTTCTGCTCCATTCTCTAAGGATTTGGGGCATACATGTCCACGTGCCTAGGGTGATTTTCAAGTTGCCAGGTCCAAGACTTCAACCATTATTGACCATGTGGGAGTCTATGCCTTAACCACTATGCCACCAGTGGTACCAGTAATGAGTATTTTTGCAAATTTAAATAAATTAATTAAGTAAATATATTTACATTTACAAGTGACAATAACATTTGCCATGTGCCTTTCACATCACAGTGACATGTGAACATGGCTTTCCTCTAAAATCCCAAACCACAGGAATAATATTTTAAACATGTTAAGATTGGATACACCCAAGAGTTTTTGCAGAAAGTAGCTGAATAAAATTTAGTAATCATGCCCCTTTGACAACCACAGACTACTTAGGGCTCACAGTAAAGAGTTAAAAGAAAAAACTCTCTGAGCCTGAAACCTGGGAGACAGCTTTTGAAGTGCTTTCACAAGGTTCTGGCGAGGGCAGGGAGTACTTTAAACTGAGGAAACAGGAAGTACCTAGATAAAAAGTTTGTTTGTTTCTTAGCGGGGTGGTCTTTTCTGGAGGTGCTCTTCCTGGAAACCAGTCCTTTTCCACCTTGATGTTGAGGTTTCCTGCGAAAAAGGAAATAACCTCTCCCTGGTACATCTAGAGGATCAGCTAGTCAATAAAAAGCTGCAGAAATTGAGTTTGCCCTGTTCGATGTTATCGGGACAAAGGAAGGGGAGGAGCAACCTGGAAGAAAGAGGGTACTGAGAGAAGACTGGAGGGTTGTGCTGCAGGCCGGGCTCTGTTCTCCTGGGAAAAGCATCACTGCAGAAGAAAATGGCCATCTCAGGGGTGGGAGGGAGCAACAAGACACAGCACCGAGGATCTGAAACTGTGAACTTACACCATTCTCAAAACATTCCCATTCGTGGCTCCACGGGAAGGACCTCCTATTTCCAGAACGGTGTGATTTATTTTTCCTGGAGCACAGCGCCCCCTGGTGGAGGTGTGCTTGAAGCGTGACCCGCTGAGAGAATTCCCCGGAGCTTGTGGTTTAGCAAAGAGCTCATGCCTCAAACAAGGAAGCAAAGAGTTGGGGCTTCTTTGACATATACAGTCTCTCCATCTTCCCAAATATCAGCTTGTTAGTCAAGATGTACTATGATTTCCTTCTTAGGTTACTTTCCCCCACCCTCTCAAATTCCACTTCCCCACTGCTAAGATCCAGCTCCACCCTTCCCTGAGTGCCCATCACTCACCTTTTTCTGTTGTTGAGATTTTTGCTATAGGGCACAGGCACTCACTAGAGAGACAGAGATAGAGACAGAGAGACAGAAAGTGAAAAATCACCCCAATCCCCACCCCGGAAATAGTTACACCACAACCCTTTTGCTCCATTCTCCTCTAGGGATTTTGGGCATATACACACACACACACAGGTGCCTGCATATTTCAAGCCATTGCCATATCAGGACTCCAACCTGGTTGCCCACGTGGGAGTCCAGTGCCTTAACCACTATGCCACCTGCTGACGACACTTGCCTTTTGATTTTTTTAACATATTTTACCCACAGGATTCTTAGTGAAATATTGCTTGCACCATTTTCCTTTTAAATCCCCAGCATGCTGCTTCTATTGGGATCAGAATGAAACCAGTTTCCCTGAGACTTCTCATTTCTCTTAATCACCCTTGTAATGAGTCTTGCTAATGAAAGAGGCAATGAGGTATAGGTAACTGCTAAACAAAAAGCTGTTTAATGTCTAAAGCAGAGTAAAGTAGGCTTTAACAGGACCGTCACAGTAAGCATAGAGGCCACTATGAGACAGGGTCTTGCAGTGAAATGGCCTCTGGCTATTGCATGGGCATGTGGGTCTTTATAGCCAGAGAGCAGATGGTGGTCAGTGGATAGAAAATTGCCGAGAGGAGACATCAGGGAGAAGAGGGATTCTGGCTAAAATGATCTCACAGGATTCTTACTAAAGACAGATCAAGGCGATCAGACATCACTGGGAAGAGAATGGAGGATAAGGAACCCAATCTGATATTGAGGATCCTGTCCTGCAGAGGAGGAGCGAGAGTTGCAAGGGGGAGTTTTGGAAAGGGAGCGAGAGAGAGGGAGAGCTTAAGCACGACTTAATAAAGGTTCAATTCACTCTTGTTAGCTGCACAAGCAGTTACAGTCAATCTGTAACTAGCCCACAGAAGGAGGACAGGACTCAGGTTTGCCTTTCATGTTACTTTAATCACACAGGGAAAAAGGGGAGCTTAGAAGTCACGAGGAGACAAGTGGTGCAGAGCATCCTATGCTGGCTGGCCCAGCAATGGGGAAGTGAGAGAGAGGCTGAGTGCTGAGTCCGCTGGGCATCTAGGAGGCACAGGCATTGAGCCGAGCTGGAGGTGAGCTCCGTGCAGATCTTAGAGTATGATGGTGGTAGTGGTCACAAGATGACCAAGGAGGAGGAAAAGTCCACCCAGTGATCCCAGAGTACAGAGGTCAGGGTTAGTGGCCGACAGTGGAGCATCCAAGATGGCAGAGTGGAGGGCTGTCTGGGCGAGGAGGAGTCAGTGTGCAAACCTGCAGGGCCTCTGGCTGCAAGGGAAGTCTCAGATGCAGCGAGATGGGATCTGGTCCAAGAGGAGGACAGAGCCCATGAGCTGGGCTCAGACTCCTCTTTATGTCTAATTTTGGCAGGCTCATGGTGACTTGACAAAACAGAATATTCTTATGTAAGTCTATGGGATTTGAGTCAGAACAAAGTGGGATATTTTTGCCTGTCATGAGGGGGCGTGAAGCATAGACCATGCTCACGTCCCTCATGCTATCGGTCAGCATATGGCTAGTCTGCTATCAGCGATAAGCACTAGGGTGTTGGCTGAGTGTTGAATTTCCAGGAACATGACTAATGCCAGGCTGAACACACTACAAAATGGAGTCAGGTATGCTCTCAGCAAGCAGCATTACAATCAAACATTTTCTTCACAGTAAACTACTACCTTAGCCATTAAACAATATATATCAAGTGTAACAATTCTTCACAGCAAGTAAAACAACATATTAGGTATAACAGGTACTCTGATAGCGAAGGAAGAGGGTTCCTGTCAAATTGACTTAGCAGAGTTCTTTGCTAAAACTAAATTTCATAAGGAAGTATACAGACGAGCCTGAGAGAATGTTCTGCAGCCTGAAATTTGTCCAGGCAAACAATCTTTGTCAGAAGTGACCAAGATTTCTTAGTAATTATCATTGTGTTTGTCAAAAGCTCTAAAAAGTTCTCTCAGGGGCCAGACAGTGGTGCAGTGGAAGAGCACAGGCTCTCCAAGGATGAAGCACATGAACCGTTCCAGGTGCACATCTGGAGAATTGCCTTTGCTGACAATGAGTGTGCCTGTGATCTCCGGCTGGCTGAAGTTGGGGGTGGAGTGTGATGGGAAGACCCTGTTGGGATTCCTCTCTCTCTCTGTCTGTCTCTCTCTGTCTCTCTCTCTCTCTGTCTCTTGCTCATTAAAGAAATAAGTAATTTTTAAAAAGAAATAAAAAAGCACTTTTAACAGGATGAACCATTGCTATTATTTCCAGGAAGCTCCATCAAGCCGCAAGCAAGCCTGGTGAATGGCAGAGAGCCCATGCTGACCTAACGCCAGCACGCAGCAGCGTTCCAAACCATAGGCGTGTGAGGGCAGCTGGACAATGACTCAGCACTTCCCCAACTGTAAAAACCCCACAAAGAATATGCATTCCAGTGTAGGAGTGGTTTTTGGTTTTTGTTTTAATATCTGTAAGACTCTGCATTATTCCTAAATAAACTTAGTACTAGTATTTTGGGAGACGGAAAGCTAGTACTTGCCTTGGACCAAGAAGTGTGGTTACTGTTTGTAACAGTTAAAAAATAAAAAGAAATGCTGTTTTCCTCAGAAGTTTGCTTCCATGCCTTTTTAGAGAACTTTTAAACACAGGATCTGAGATTGATGTGGAATTTCTCAGAGGTATGAAGGAACAGAAAATAAATGTCTGCTTAATTCTGAAACACAGTTTTCACAAAAGAAGCCTTGCAATGCCCTTCTGATAAATGCAAAATAAAACAGGAAAGAAACCTGAATAAATATACAAGGGGACTTTGACAATTTCATGGAAAATAAAATTAAAGAACAAGTTCATTTGGGGGCAAAAATGTTTTTAAACCCATGCATCATTCTTTCATATGTATTTTCCATGAGCTTTGTGAAGACCCCACGCATAGAATGGAAAACCAAGTCAGAATAGCCTAACTTTAGCACTTAAGGTGATTCTCTTGAACTTCCGGTACAAAATATACCCCACCAAATGGAATGTTTTGAATGAACCCAAACAATTCTCATTTCAGATGTCAGAGCTGTGCATTCTGGCACAGGGTTAGGATGTGCAGGAAAGTGTTAGCATCTGTGAGATGGGTTCTAAGGTGTTTGCAAGAATTAATAAAAGTCTTGAATTTATTTTGCCCTGAAAGAGGTTTATTTTTTGGATAATGTCTGGAAAATTTAAAAACAACAACAACAACAAGAAAAACAACCAGACAAACAAAAAACTGCTGGCCATTGCCCTGTTGTGGTCAACACAAACACTACCCCATCAAAGAAAAACTAGACATTAGGAATGAAATCTTTCGAACTGTTAGAGAAATGCTGCCAAAAAAAAGAAGGAAGTAAAAGATCTACTTAAAGGTAGATTCCTTTAAATGCTGAGAATTTTAAAAATAATAATAATAAAATAACTGGTAGCTACATGAACCAATACTATTGCTAAGAGCTTTACACACACTATTTCGTTTTGGCCTCACAAAACTCCTCTGAGGTAAATACTATTATTGTCCCGATTTGACAGATGAGGAAACTGAACGATAACTTGCCTAAAGCTACAGAGGTAGTCAGATACCATAGCCTGTACTCCCAGCTGTTTTTCTCCTTTCTTGACTATATAGGGTGTAACACTTCTTAACACTGAACATTTGCCCAAGTACTTTTTATACAGGTATCGATTCAATTAATGCTTAAACAATAGCCAATTAAAGATTCAGTTGCATAATCCTGTTTTACAGATGAGGTAACAAAATCCACAAAGGCTGATTAAACTGCCCAAGGTCAGCCAGCCTACCGGAGTGGGATTCAGCGCAGAGATCAAATTTTAATTACTTTACAATACTGTATCTTATGCGGCAAAATGTTTTCATCCTAGCCACAAGCAAGTCTGGTGAATATGTAGTTTCTGAATTATACACTATAAGTCAACAATTAAAAATAACAGAGAAAATGAGTATTTTCTTTATTCACATTAATTTCAAATCAAGGAAGGACTAAAGAAATGCATGGCAAGGGATGCCCATAAGAAGACTAGAGTTTTCATTATTATAAGCTACTGGTAATGTCAGTGGAAGTGAGAGATGGTAAGTAGAAAACTTGGGGAAAGTTTTTGGTTAAAAAACAAACAAACAAACAAACAAAAATGGCAGGCCACAATGAGAAAAATCAAAATAGTATTAACTTGGGCAAAATTAATTACTGAATGAATCAAAAACAGTAGAATAACCAAAGTGTTACAGTACCTAATTTTTCCCACCAAAAAGCTAAAACCTCAGTGTGCTTGAATTTATCCTTATTTTACAGGCATTATTTGATTCTGGGGTTGATGATACTTGTCTATCTTAGAATTGCTCTCCTTGAAGATTTGACATGTGAATATTCAATGTATATGTGCTCTAGAGAGAGGTATTAGAAAAACGAACTGACGCACTGTAGATGCCTTATATTTTTAGAGACCTTTATACTGTACAGTAACTCATTTCCGCTCTTTACAATTTTTGTCTTCATTCATGATAGAGTGCATGAGCACATATGTGAGAGTGAGAGAGGAGAGACAGAGATAAGCACCCTCCATAGGATCGGCTCACACCATGATCCCCTGCCTTTGGTCATCCAGCTCATCAGTTTGTGGGTCCTCATGAGCATGGTCAGCATGAGTCAGGTTAAGTTGGCAAGAAGTCAAACCATGATCACCATGAGGGATCCAGCTTCTCTTGAGCAGCATATAGTCTCTGTGCCACAAACCTACCCTAATTTCAGTTCTTGATTAAACTATCAGCCAGCTGTTTGGGAAGTTGAAAAAATGACTGCTGACAGTGTTATGATAACTGTTTCCTCAAACTACAAAGAACTCACTTCTCCTTTCCATCTGCCCATCCAACAATGGAAAATGAAACCTATACCAAAAGGTAATTCTCCAGCAGTTCTATATTTATAAATGGTTGTTTATGCTACCAGTTGAATACAGTGGATCAGTGGGGATAGAACAGGTTAGGCTGCTGTGACCAACACCATGGCCACACCCACATCTCAATGGCTTAAGACAACAAAAGCTTATTTATCTCTCATACCACATGTTTAATATGGGTTGCAGGATGGAGGGAGGTATAATAGGAAGTTCTTCTCATTGAATCCATCCAAGGATCCAGCTGGATGAACTGATAGAGGATGCTTCTATGTAAATGCTTCCATGAATGATTCCATGTTACTGGAAAAATGGGAACAGAATTCTGCAGGTTCTAAATGTTGCCTCCTGAAAGTAACATTTAACTTCCACCTACATTTCATTGGGCAAGGCAAGTTATGTGATATGTCTGACATTAAAACAAAATGCAGGGCCAGCAGGTGGTGTGGTGGTTAAGGTGCTAGAATTCCCACATGGCCAACCACAGTTCAAGCCCTGAACCTGGCAGCTTGCACACTCTCTCTCTCTCTCTTTCTCTCTCTCTCTCTCTCTCTCTCTCTCTCTCTCTCTCTCTGTCTTTCTCTGGCAAAAACCCATGTAAAAAAATAATAATAAATAAGTGAATTTAAAAAAAAAAAAGAAGCAGCACCGTGCTCAGAAAGGAGAATTGGATAATTCACTGGGGAACAGCCCTAATGACTATGACCAAGTAAAGAAAAAGGGATGTTAGAATATAGAAAGATGTGATCTCAAAACAAAACAAAACAAAAAAACACAATTGTGAAACTTTGTGGGTCGCAGGCTAAAGATTCACATGAAGAGTTACTCAATAATAATAATAATATTTTTTAAAAATTAACTGGGAGGCATTTGGCTGAGGCAGCTCTAGTGCCTTGAGTTCTAGCTCAGTACAAATCATAAACTTAACTAGTCAGGAGCCACCAATCTCCCTCTAAGTAGAGACTTTCCACGGAAACAAACCCAGTGAGGTTGCTGCTCCACTTCAACAAATCAAATCCTTTTTTTGTTCATCTTATAAAAGACTTCTCCCTAATTCCTTCTCTATTTCTGTAATGGCCCAATTCACAAATCACTGTCTGCTCAAATAAGCTCTAAGTTTTTCCTTTTTCTTTGGCTTTGCTTTTGTTTTTGTTTTTGCTATAGAGTGCATGCACTTGCCAGAGACAGAGAGAGGGAAAGTGAGACATCATCCCCTCACCCAAGGAAGATGGCCACACCACAATCCTTTCTCCAGTGTCCATTTGGGATTTTGAGTATGCACATACACATGCCCAAGCTGCTGGATCCAGGTCTCATAACACTCAGTTGGCCACAAGAGATCTAGCATCTTTACCTTCACACTACCTGCTGGTCCTAAACTCTAACATTTTAACAGTCTCAGTTTATCTTTCAATATTAGTAATGTTTTAGTGGGTGTTTTTTTTTTTTTTACAAGAGGAAGGGGCCAGATGGAGTTTGTAGTTACCAGTGCCTATAGAGGCAAGGACAACAGAAACCTGCTGCTCCGTGGGATGGCATGAATATGTCCCCCTAAAATTCGTGTGTGGAAATTTGATTGTGAAGGAATTAAGAGGGTAGAAATGTTATCTGACTATGGGGTTAAGAAGCAGGGCCTTTGGGAGGTGATCAGGATTAGATGAGGTCATCTGGGTGGGGCTCCCATGACTGAATGCTGGCAGATTTGTAAGGAGAGAGAGGAAGACCAGAGCAGAGGCACACACAGAAGGCCTCGCCCTCTTGCCATGTGATGGCCGGTTTGCTTCAGGACTCTGCAGAAAGTCCCCCTTAACAAGAAGGTCCTCATCAGATGCAGCCACTAGACCTTGGACATCCAACACCATGAGTTAAGTAAGGCCTCTATTCATTTATAAATTCTGCAATTTGGTGTTCGGGTACTGAGTAACAGAGAATGGAATACAACTCCCATTTACCAGTCTAAGAGCTTGGAACTGGGTCCCGAAGTTGCCAGTTACCTGTGTGTCCCAAGGTCACAGGGGATGGCATATGTGATTTTTTTCTTTTTAGAGGTTTTTGCTATAGGGCACATGCACTTGCCAGGAAGACAGAGAGAGACAGAGAGACAGAAAGCGAGCAATCACCCCTGGGGGGGGGGCTGCAATTTGGTGTTCGGGTACTGAGTAACAGAGAATGGAATACAACTCCCATTTACCAGTCTAAGAGCTTGGAACTGGGTCCCGAAGTTGCCAGTTACCTGTGTGTCCCAAGGTCACAGGGGATGGCATATGTGATTTTTTTCTAAAAAGAGGTTTTTGCTATAGGGCACATGCACTTGCCAGGAAGACAGAGAGAGACAGAGAGACAGAAAGCGAGAAATCACCCCTCGGGGGGGGGATGGCCACGCAGCAACCCTTTCTCCTCCATTCTCCTCTCAGGATCTTGGGCATGTACACACACGCGCGCCCGGTGTGAGTTTAATCCACTGGGTCCGAGACTCGAATCGCAGTCCACTACGTGGGAGTCCAGCGACATAGCTATTACACCAACTGCTGGTCCCAGCATATGCGAATTTTAAGAAGAGGAAATATTTAATGAAACACCTGTGATTCTTAATAAAACATCTCATAATAAAGAAAGTAATTATGTAAAAAGGCAAAAGCTCAGCCCTGGTAAACTCTGGGATTTGGTTGCAACCTCACCATGTAGGACTTTGTGACTTTGGCTTGAACTGTGACTTACTAAATACCCAGAGTCCCTGTTCTCTATGCCAGGACATTGGTGGGAAATGACATCTCATACCTGATAAAATTTAACTAATGTTTTTTGTGAAATAAAACAGCAGTCAGAACTAGAGATATAGGAAGAAAAATGAGAGCTCATCATCAGAAAGAAATGTTCATGGCCTTATCTCCCAGGACTCTGTCCAAAAAAAAAGAAAAAAGAGGATGTTGCCTGCAGGGTACTGGGTTTCTCTGTAAATGGGAACACTGTTGTGTCTGTTGAAATGTTGAATCATCCCCATGCACACCAAGCCTGGTTTGCACTCTATAATCCCACTAGGAAGTGTGAAAGCACACTCGAAATCTCAGAACGAGGGCTCAGTTTGATTGCTGCAGGTTAACATCCAGGAGAGCATGGGCTCCTCCTCCTGTCAGCTCTCTGCTCTGTAGCTGTGAGCAAACACAAAGCACCTGTTTGCTTCTTATTTCATTTTCATTTTAATGAGGTACAAATTGAACATGTTGTACGAAGTCAGGAGCAAGAACAAGAAAGAGCACCACAGTGTGCTCTCCGGCTCCCCAGAGCATGCTTCTGCCACTAGCAACATCCCAATACCTGGGAGCGTGTCAGAAATGCAGAACGTTGGGCCCTGCCGGGC